TTGTCCCCATGTGGGTGTGGAAATTCCAGAAGAGGCTTCAGATTGGAGTAGAGAAGAAGGTGGCTAAATACTGCAAGATTCTGGATGAGTTCTTGTATGCAAGCATCGAGATGAAGAAGCAAGAGTTATCGACATTGGGAAACAATATCGTTAATTCCACTACCGAGAGGCGCGACTTGTTGTCACATCTTTTGGTGGGGGAAGAGAAGTTCTCAAACAAGTTTATGAGAGATGTTGCTATCAGCTTGATAGTAGCAGGGAGAGACACTGTGTCCTCTGCTCTAACTTGGTTGTTATGGCTGGTTGCCACCCACCCAGATGTCGAGAAAAGAGTTCTTGAAGAGATCAAACAAGTCATGACAACAACAACATCATCAAGTGGCGGGCTTCTGAGCGAGGATGAGCTCAACAAACTAATATTCCTCCATGCAACCATCTGCGAAACATTAAGGTTGTACCCACCATTCCCAATTGAGCATAAATGTGCCGTGGAGGCAGATGTCCTCCCTACAGGCCATTGTGTACGTAAGGGAACAAAGATATTGGTCTCTATATACTCGATGGGTAGGATGGAAGAGATATGGGGGGATAACTGTATGGAATTCAAGCCGGAGAGATGGATTTCGGAACAAGGGAGCATAATCTATGTTCCGTCATACAAGTTCATGGCCTTTATCTCGGGGCCAAGGACTTGTTTGGGCAAGACTATGGCTTTCATGCAACTCAAGTCGATGGCCAGTGCTATTATGTGGAATTACAAGCTTGATATGGTGGAAGATCACGTCGTGAAACCAACACCATCTATGATATTGTCGATGAAGCATGGATTGAAGATGAGAGTTTCCAAGAGGGCATCGAATTTGGTGATATAGAAAGCTTATTATGTTGCTGTCATTTATTTTTCGATGTTGGCTTGCTATTGTTGTTATGATTGGTATCTCAGGATGTAATGTTTTTCTAGATACTAATTTTGTGTCTGCATTAAGAATTACGTGGCTATGGAAAAACATACGCATATAAAATTTTTACCGTAGTTAGTATTAGCCACGTAACCTTTTCTTGCTCTCGGTCCTAGTTTGGTCACCAGCTATTGTGACCATATCTATAGCGACCATATTGTTGACGCCAATATTAGCCGCGCACTTGAAAAAATTATTATCAACCATTTTTTCTTCGTAATTATTAGCCCAAAATTGTTATCAATATTTTCACTCATGTTAAAATTAAGCCTCTTTGTGTTGCACATATTCTGCTTTCTCGGTGACCAAATCCATACTTTTGTATGATAATTCGTATAGGAGATGCTTATACAAAATGGTTAAATCGGTATTTTTATACTTTCATTTCCATTAGATAGCCTATTTGTCTTGCTCATAATATTGTGAGTTTCTGTGACCATTTTCCACGGTCGCGCAAAGAACTATTTAGGAAACAAGTTCGGATTGATGAGGACGATTTAATTTCAATGTCTGAATTGTTTTTTTTTATAATGGCGATGATAAGATTACGAATGAAAGAAAAGGTTCAAATGTCTGAATTGTTAATTTGACTCAAATATGCAATTCAGATTTGCTTATGCAAAAGACATAGGAAACAGAAAGAATTGCAATATTAGAATGTGAAAGCAATTGACCAGCCATCCACCCAATTAATTGATAGATATGCCTTTAGTGCATTGAGTGGGTAGATCTCTTTTGGTTCTTGGAGGAGTCGTAAGGTAGGTTATTGAAATCATCAAATAGATTTAAGTTTGCCTCTTAAGGCTTTTTTAATACAACTAAACCACTAAATTCTGACCACATGTATTAATGTATACCATCCATCATGAGTATCCATCTAACACTGTCATAACCAATGTAGTAAAAAACACGTCTTACAAGTTTAGCGCCCCTCACTCAATTATCACGATACAAGTCAATACCCCTCATTCAGATTACTGACTCCCCCGTTCTTTCTTTCTTAAAGGTAGTGAGCCTTTTATTTAGAGAGTGGGCTTACACATTGGCATGGACTCTAATTTATAATGGGATGAACCATTCTTTTTTTTTTCTTGGGCCCGAGTGAAGTTCAATTTTACCTTGGGTTACACAATTCCAAAAGTATCGGTTATTAGACTTGTTCCTAGGAATGAAGCAAGAGAGACAGAGAAGAGATGGAGGCCTTGATTTTATTTATTGAAAATGACACGAGTAACAAACATGTAGCCCACGATCCATAGGTAGAGAAAGAGATGGAGGCCTTCATTTTATTTATTGAAAACGCCACGAATAACAAACATGTAGCCCACGACCCATACGTAGTTAATAAGTATCCATTTTTATTTATTAAAGACCACAAATATTGCTTGGGATGAAACTAGACAAATCTTTTGGAAATTCTCATCTTCAAGCCATCTTTCATCCACATTACCATGGATCGTGCTGGCTTTACGATGTGAACCTCTATCATATCAAATCTATTGTTCCATAGAATGGAACTAACCATGAACTTGAGATGCATGAAAGACAGCGCTTTGCCCAAACACGTCCTCGGTCCTGTAAAAATTGCCATAAAATTTTGCGATGGAACATGGATTATGTTCCCTTCTTCTGAAATCCATCTCTGGGGCTTGAACTCCATACAATCTTTCCCCCATATCTCTTCCATCCTTCCCATGGAGCATATAGAGAACAACATCCTCATTCCCTTATGAACTATATGGCCGCTAGGGAGCATGACAGCTTCAGTGGCGCATTGGTGCTCCAATGGCAAGGGTGGGTACAGCCTCAAAAGAATAATGCCTATGTTTGGCCCGGCTTTTAGAAGTGCTTTTCGGCTTCAAAAGCTTAAGCAGGGCCAAACACCTCTAAAAGCTCGGCTTTTGAAAAGCCGAAAAGCGCTTTTGTATAACATAAAAGCAGAAGCTCCGATTTGGAGCTTCTGCGAAAAGCTGTTTTGAAAATACAAGATTATCCTTACCATATTTTAATTTTATTTCATAAAATATAATTTTCCTTCATTTATATCATTTTAAAAATAAAATAAATTATAAAATCATATTATTTAATATAAAAGAAATCTAACAAGATCCATTTTGACTACTTTTTATTGTTTCGAATTTTTATTTATATTTTATATTATAAGTCCTTTATAGTCATTTTACACAACCGCTCATATTAAAAAGCACTTCTAATAGTTTTACAGCCAAACACTAAACTGCTTTTTTTGAAAAGTACTTATCTAAAAGCTCCAGCCAGAAGCTGCTTCTGCAAAAGCTACAGCAGGGCCAAACTAAGCTAATATATGATAAGCACAATTTTGTATTGTCAAATCGGAGTTTCTGCTTTTAAATTATGAAAAACTTCAGCTTTTTACAAAGCAAAACTTTAGAGGTGTTTGGCTTGCTTTCACATCTTGAAACATAAAACTTCTAAAATTCAGGCCAAACGTAGTCGTACTCTTTTGCCTTTTTTTTGGGTTTGATGTAATCGTGGTTCTCCATTATGAAATTTTTGGACTAGTTGTAGGTTTGAGGAGATTCAACTCACACTGATCGGGTCAAATTAGGTTAGATGCCCATGGATTTGGGTACAATTGTCTTTCTCAAACAAAAGGAAAAGCCAAAATGAAAAACACTAAAGGTAAATCTCGCTACCGTCTCAAAATTCGTCAACAAGGTTCAACTCGCTTTGACCTGGTTGAACCTAGTTTTGAGCAAATTCACACCTGACACAACCCACCAATTACAAGAACAGATAAAACTCGCTCTCGCCGGAAACTTGTAAACACCGGGTTCAAGTCGCTTTGGTCAGGTCGAATTAGGATGGATACTTATGCATTTGAACTCAATTGTCATTCTCAACCAAAAGGAAAAAGATAAAAAAAAACTAAAGTGGATAAAACTCACTCACGACCCTAAACTCTCAACACTGCGTTCAGCTCGCTCTGACAGGGTCGACCCAGTTTTAACAAATTCACAATTTACCTAACCTGTCAATTACAAAAGCGGATAAAACTCGCTCTCGATATCAAACTCGTCAACAATGGTTCAAAGTTCAATTGTCATTCTCTTTTTTTCGTTCAATCAGTTGCTTTAATAACGTAGAAATTAAAGAACTAATTACAACGAGGCGGACCTCATAGGCTCTACGCAGGGCAAAAACAAAGCACCACTAGCCAGTTCAACGTTATATCACTGTAAAAAGCTACAAAATACTCCAAAAGACACTATACAAAGATATCCCAAACATGCCGGATCACAACAAAAGCGGATAAAACTCGCTCACAATACAACACTTGTTAATAACTTAGATTCGGGTTCAATTCTCTTACCAACCAAAAGAAAAAAGAGAAATTCATAAATACTAAAGTCCGTTTCAAGTCGATTGCTTTGACCGAATTGAATTAGGTTGGATACCCATGGATTTGGATTCAATTGTGATCATGGTCAACAAAAAGGATTAGGGTAAAGAAAAAAAATACTAAAGAGGATGAAACTCAGTCCCGATACAAAACTTGTGGTAACTCACAACCTAGAATTTTATATATTAATTAATATTTGGGTTCAATTGTGATGATGCTCAACAAAAGGAAAAAGAGAAAGGAAAAAATACTAAATATGATGAAACTCTGTCCCGATACAAAACTCGTGGTTGCTCCTTGGGTTCAAGTTAGGATACCCTTGTGTTTTGGTTCAATAGATGTAAACCTAGCGAGCAATAGCTAAACACAAAGGTTATAGAATGAAGAGTGGGGTAAAAGAAGCAACTTGGAACTTCTCCACTTGCACTTGGAGGAGTGTGAGAGTCACTAATGAATAGTAACTCACAACCTAGGCTTTTATATATTATATTATTATTATTTTACTTTATGCTAAAACTTTCCAAAAACATCGGTTATTAGTTGTTATACTTTGTTCCTTGGAACGAAGCAAGAGAGGAAGAGACAGATGGGAGCCCACATTTTATTTAATACGACACTAGTAACAACCATGCAGCTCACAACCCATACGTATCATTTCTATTTAATAAAGACCATAAATATTGATTAAAAAGAAAATTGACATCTCTCTTTTTTTAGATAAGGGTGATATAGATTTATTTTCATTATTATCTGCTACTAGAGAGATTTGAATCCGAGACATTCATGTTCAATTGGTAGTACCACTAGATCATGTTCTTGTTCACAAGAAACTATACCTTTCTCTTGGAAACTCTCATCTTCAAGCCATCTTTCATTGACAGTACCATGGATGGTGTTGGCTTCACGACGTGACCCTCTACCATTTCAAATTTGTAGTTCCAAAGAATTGAACTAACCATGAACTTAAGTAGCATGAAAGACATCGCCTTCCCCAAACAAGTCCTCGGTCCTGTCAGAAAAGTCATGAACTTTTGCGACGGAACATGAATTATGTTTCCTTCGTCTGAAATCCATCTTTCGGGCTTGAAATCCATGCAATCTTTCCCCCATGTCTCTTCCATCCTCCCCATGGAGTACATGGAGAACAACATCCTCATTCCCTTATGAACTTTGTGGCCGCTAGGGAGCACGTCAGCTTCAGTGGCGCATCGGTGCTCGAATGGCAATGGTGGGTACAACCTCAATGTCTCGTAAATGGCGGCATGAAGGTACACTAACTCATGTAAATCATCCTTGCAGATCAGAAACCTCGAAGTCCCTCTAGCACTCCTAGTCATGACTATCATTACTCGTTCGATCTCCCCAAAAATCTTTTCCTCAACGTCAGGGTGGGTCGCGACCAACCATAGCAACAAAGACAGAGTGGAAGATAGGGTGTCCCTCCCAGCTGAAATTAGTGTAAGCGCGATGTCTCTTAGAAACTTGTCTGTACTCTGATGGTCAGCCAACAACCATTGTGTTAGGATGTCGTGATGTTGTCTTTGCTCCTCTTTGTGCACCATCTCTTGTTTCTTGATCTTGACGGCATTGTATAAGAACTCATCCAACACCTTCGTACTTAGACTTATCTTCTTCTCCGAACCAATCTCAAACCTTTTCTGGAACTCCCAGACACCTTTGGGCACTATATGTCGGTATATGATCCCCTCCTCGATTTCCTCGAATGCTTTCCCACAGGAGAAAGTTTTTGAACGCCCATCCACACACAGGTAACCTGCGATAGATCGAGGATTGATAATTTGAGCGAAGACACAATTACTTGCACTATATATAAACTCGAGTACAAAATCATACTAAATGTTTAACCTGGATCAAACCCTAAAACCCAGAGGCAAATGTTGTCGAACATGAACATCTTTGCCACGTCCTGCATGTCCACCTCAGCTCCGACTCTCGCATCGAGAACTGGGAACAAGGTGCCCTCCATCTTCAGCTTGAGGGTTGTCGTCATGTGGTTCTGTAGTTCCTCGTTGTTGAGGATGGAATGGAGCATCTGGCGCTGGAACTTCCACGACTCGCCGTCCACGTTGAAGATGCCGTCTCCCAGGACCTCGAACATGGCTCTGAAATCTTCGTTTTTCCCGTACTTGGCGTAGCTCTTGCTGAAGATGTGGTGGGCGTTGATGGGATCGCAGGTGACGATGAAGTCCATGTCGGCGAACCACGGGCCTTTGAACACGATCGTGCCGCCGTTTTCTTTGAGGGTTCTAGTGATGTAGCCATGGAGATCTTCGGCCCACACGTTCCAAATGAGGCCGGGAAGCATGCCCAGCACCGGCCATTCGAGCAAGGAGAAGTTCTTGTTCCTAATACTACTAGTTATGGAAGGCCGCCATAGGAGGAATATGAAGGAGAGGAGAATTAGTAGCAAAATGGCCAGTAGTGGAATGGTGGACATTTGATGATTTTTGGTTTAATTGATTTATGAATAGCCTTTTGCATGGTGTAATATTTATATATAACGATCAACTGTACCAGTACGTATATATAGTACAGTACTACGTACTGTGACGTGCATGTATCAATATTGACAAGTGTGTATCCTCCACGTCCAAAGCCAACCAACAGAAATATTTATGATACAGCTAGCAAAGCTTGAAAGCAATGCATGAGTCTAGAAACCCATCCAAACGATCGAATTTGCGTGGAAGGTTTCTCACAAATTCAAACCTTGTGTTGCAATCATACGTGTACCAACCATTAAGCACACACAGGCATCCAATTAACCAGCCAAATTTATGAAGCTATTGAAGAGGTGAAAGCTATCCATCATGACTCTAGCAACCTAACTCAGTACAAACTTGTGAGTTACGTTGTGATGTTATAATCTTCACCTAGCTACGTACGTGTGGTGTTGCCTTCGCCACGAGACTACCTAACTTAATGGCGTCTCTATTCTCTCTACCTTTCTTCTTCTTCTTCTTCGTCGTCTTCTTTAGCATAAGAGGAAAAAGTACACTGTACACAGAGAGCGGGACCAAGCTCCTTTAGTCAGCCTATACGAATAAGTTGGTAGCAAGTCTTCATACTCCATCGAAAAAATCCTCTCTTTCTCACTTCAAAGTACTACTTAATAAAATTTCTATCTTACTTGTCACTGGCTTTACATTTGGTACATTTTGTACATATATAAATGTATAAATGTCTTTATAATGAAAAATAAATTTGTATTTTTAACATCATTATACACATTTAACTTAGCTTGTATTTCGAACCACTAATAGTTCAGAAGAGAGTAAAATGGCTCAAAGGTGAAAACTAGCATTCCATGGTGACTCTACGATCTCACCACCAGAGGCAACCGACGGAATGGACGGCGATGATCAATTCACCGGGCGATATCCATATGAATCATGTAGTTGTATTCTATAGATAGATTCTGTGGTCTATAGTTCTCCAGCTCGCCCAATCCAACTAGTACTCATCACATCATATTTGTTGGTCTCGATCGGTAGGTAGGTTCATTATTATTGATGGCCTAGCGAGAATTCATGTTACTAGATCCATCAACCACATACCACCACTTAATTAGTCTTAATTATTTGAGTTGTTGAGGAAATGTTTGTTTAGAATTTTTGTTATCTCTTACACGGTCTCGCAAGCTAAAGACTACATTTGATTTTTTAGAGTTTGTACAGGTTTGAACATATTATTTTTTGCTGCTAAATCATTAGACTTTTAGTTTACACAGATTGGTCATATCATTGCTTGTGCTAAACCATTGTTTATAGGGGTATACATGGGTAGGGTGGTTCGGGTTTAGTCATTTTAATCACCCGATCCATGCACTACGGTTTGGGAAATATCAAACTCAAACTCACCCAAAAAAAATTAAACCCTACGGTATGTTTCTAATTGGGTTGGGTCGGGTTGGGGATATTTTTAAGTAAAAACCCAACCCAACATAAAATATATAATTATTCTATATCATACAAATATTTTATAACTAGTTAAAATTTAAACCAATGAACCGAGGTGAAAGGTATCAAAATTCACAAATGTTGTTTGAATTTTAATAAAATGTGATCTACTTCCACATATGTCTTTTTTTTCCCCACGATATTCGTTGAAATAGGCTAAAAATATTATAAACAAACGCATCCATAATATGTTATTCTATTAAAATTGTACCACAAGAAAAAGGAATACGTGAATCCAACTCGTACCAATATTTATTACAAACCACAATTATTAAGAAGAAACTAACTAAACATTTCTCTTGGAAACTCTCATCTTCAAACCATTTTCCATTGTCAACATAGTAGAAGGAAGTGGCTTGACGATTTGACCCTCTGCCATATCAAACTTGTAGTTCCATAGAAGAGTACTAACAATGACCTTTAGCTGCATGAAAGACAACGACTTCCCCAAACAATACCTTGGCCCTGCCAAAAAATTAATGAACTTGTATGAGGGGATGTGGATTAAGCTCCCTTGCTCCGAAATCCATCTCTCAGGCTTGAACTCCATGCAATCTTTCCCCCATATCTCTTCCATCCTCCCCATGGAGTATGTTGACACCCACTTTTGTTCGGGTTAATTTCGTACTAAATAATTTTACTCGAACCTGATAGGTTTAGACACTAGAAATTTATCAGCACATTACAATCCATTTCTGTTACACATTGGACTTCCAGCCCAGCCCATTCCATAACAGGAATAAAACAAAAGAGAAATAACAGAAAGGGCCCATAGCCCACATATTATGTCCCAGCAACCCACATAGCGAGTGAGACCGGTTCGATTCACCAGACCAAACCCGCTCCTCCTCTGTTCCTCCATCCCCTACTCCATGCTCCATTGTTACCTGCAAAACAACCGGAAAAATTAGCGCCCATTCTTGCAAGCTGTACAGGGCAGAAAAATCAATGAAAAGGGAGAGAAACGGGATCGGGGCACAGAAAATTAATTACAGAGATGAGATAGGCTGAAGTGGTTGAAGAGATGGGTGTATCATGGTCTTCGATTTACCTATAAGAAGAGGTAGCGAGATGAGAATAGGGAGGGAGAAATGGGCTAGCAATCCATTCCCAGAAACTAAACACTGCCATTTCTCCACTCAAGACACAAAAACAAACCGTACCCAGAAAGCTATCTTTTCACAAAGACAAACCCAAACACATATCCACCCAATCTTTTGCAATTAGAAAGATAAAAACAAAAAAATACTTACCAGTTACCAGCACAAGTGCCGTCGCCTCCACATCGCGCTGTTCCCTCCGGCAGTCACTTCCCTCGCCAGTCGCCACCGCTACTCCTCCGCGTCACCATCACCGCCAGAAGACATCATCGCCTCTCGCCCCACCTCCAGCCGCCGCGTCGCCAGGCCTCCCTCCTGCCGCGCCTATCCACTGTCGGCCAGGCTCCGCAGCATCTCTATCGTCGTAGCATCACCATCGTCGATCCGCGAAGGAGTGGAAAGAAAAGGAAAGGCGAGCAGCGGAAAGAGAGAAATAAAAGGAGGCGGGGCATCTGAGGTCTCCGCTAGGGTAAGGTTTTCTTCTCCTCTCAATTTTAACTACGGATCCCAACCCTCTGATCCAATTTTATTTACAGATACATACCGAAGAGAAATTACAGATTATGTCACCCATTTTTTTTAAACTAACTAGAAGTAACCATCCTATTATTAACAACTTGCAAAAATAAAATTAATCAATTGTTGCCTGATCGAACTCAAATATGGGTTTGTTGTGCCTCGGGGCAAGTATTCAACTACTCAGAACAGTAATGTATTTTGTTATACAGTTGCTGCCGAATATATTTAACCAACTTGTAGCTTAACTAATTTTTGTTGACTTTCTTAGTCTCTATTTTATACGAACAAATTAACCTAATAAGAACTCTACCTGATTGATTCATTAAATTGGATTTATCTCCAATAAAAAGTTGAAGATTTAATATTTAGGAACTGATGTGTTCCTCTTGTAAATGATATTCTACTACAATTCTTCAAAATTAATGTCAATCGAACTACGCGGACTTTGATCCCGAGATGTCGGGTACGTAGGCGACCGTAAGGTTCAAGTCCACACAACTTCTAAAATATTATTTTATCAAATTATACGATGAAGTCATTACCGATGGGTACATGATCAATTTATCACCTAACCTATTTTAAACAAATGACGATCGATGGATCGGGTTCAAAATCAATAAACTATTACGTATCAACGGGTACGTGGTTAATAATCATTTAGTCTATCTCAAACAAATTATGATCGATGGATCATCATCAAACTAAGCAACTATTACATACCAATGGGTATGTGATCATTAATCTCAAGCAAATTACGATCGATGGATTGTCGTCAAATTAAACAACTATTACGTACCGATGGGTCGTAAGCGAATATTTTAAAATAATTAAAATACCGGCGAACTACGAGGGCTTTGATCCCGAGATGTCGGGTACGTAGGCGGCCTACGGGTCCAAGTCCACTAATAAAATAAAACCTTTTTCCCCGTAAAATTACTAAAAATATTAATTATTTCTTCCAACGTAATTACATGTTGATGAACATGTGATATATATAAAAAAGGACATCTCGAATTCGATGTAAATCCAAATAATTTCAAACAAGCAAATATCAATTAAGAAGACAGATCAAACTTATAGTACCGACTTAGGGCGATGTAAGGGTGCTAATACCTTCCTTACTCGTAACCGACCCCCGAACCCATAAATCTATTTCGCAGACCGAGCCGAGCCTAAATCATAACCGATTTATGCTTGACTTCCCAAGTGTCCAATCCACTTTGAGAGATTGGTGGCGACTCCTCTTTTTCGCGCCGCGTCGCGGACGGACCGTTTGCGACAGAGTATATGGAGAACAAAATCCTAGTACCCTTGTGAATGAGATGGCCGCTAGGGAGCATATCATCTTCAATGGCACATCTTAGCTCGAATGGTGCGGGTGGGTACAATCTCAATGTTTCGCAGATGATTGCATGGAGATATACAAGTCTATTCATCTCATCTTTATCGATCATGAAAACTCCTAATAATCGTCCTTCTCTAGGATTTGGTCGTCGTTTAGCCATTACCACTACTCTTTCAATCTCCTCGATAATCTTTTTCTCAACCCGAGGGTGGATCACAACCAACCAGAGCAACCAAGTTAGAACCGAAGACACAGAGTCTTTCCCTGCCGCTATTAATGTCACTCCAAAGTCCCGTAGAAATTTATCTGAACTTTCTTCTCTTTCATCTGCTACCATCCATTGTGTTAGCAATTCATGTTGTAGGCGTTTATCTTCTTTGTGAAGCTCTTGTTTCTTGGTTTTTACGACGTCATATAAAAACTTATCCAAGACCTTAATACTTGTACTAAATTTCTTCTCGGATCCTATCCCAAATATTCTCTGAATTTTCCATACACCTTTTGGGACAATGTGTCGGTATACGACGGCCTCCTCAATGTCGTCATATGCTTTGCCACATGAGAAGGTATCTAAATGTCTGTCAACACAAAGGTAACCTGAAAGAGGTATAAATTGATTGTGAGCCGTCTCTAATACTTCAAAAGGATTGAAAATTTTATTGAAACCACCGCATCTTTTAAAGGACACAGTCGCAACAACCTAGACTTGCCAAACGTACGGTGGCTAAGGTTGAAGATTTTCCTTCATTGGGGCTTGGAATCTCAATGAATCCAAATTAATCCACAAAGCAATTTTTAGTCAAGCTGATTAACTCTTAAAACTTAATCATGTTCCAAATCCTAATACTTTATTTAATTACCTGGATCGAATCCCAAGACCCACAAGCAGACATAGTCAAACATGAACCTGCTCACCACGTCTTGCATGTCCACCTCACCCCTAACTCCCGTTGACGAAGAAACATCGTCGAGGACTCGGAACAAGGTGCCCTCCATCTTCTGATGAAGCGTCGCCATGACGTAGTTTTTGAAGCCGTCCTTGCTCAAGAAAGAATGGATCCTCTTCCGTTGTATCTTCCACGACTCGCCATCCGAATTGACGATCCCTCCTCCAAGAAACTCCTCAAATATGGCCCTGAAATCTTCACCCTTCCCGTAGTTGGCGAAGTTCTTGCTGAAGACGTGGTGGACGTTCATCGGATCGCTCGTGACGACGATGTCCAGGTTGGCGAAGCAGGGGCCTTTGAACAGGAAGGTGCCGCCGCTTTCTTTGACGAGTCGAGTGATGAAGCCGTGGAGATCGGTGGTTGCGTTCCAAAGGAGGGCCGGAAGCATGCCCACCACCGGCCATTCGATGGCGGAAGAACTTTTGTTCTTAGCTATAAATGCTATTGAGCGCCACAAGAATATGAAGGAGAAGAAAGCTAGTAGCAAAACAGCAACAATCCACATGGTGAACAAAATTTAGGTGGCTTGATAAGAAAACTAATTAAAATGCAAAATCTATGATGAATTATTTAACAACGGATCAACTGATGATATAAATGGTGATAAAAAGTAGTGGTAGCTAGTTTTCTACATGGGGTCCGTAATGCATTACAAATAAGCCAGTGAAAAAGGAGTAGGTAGCAGGGTACAATAAAGCGGGGACACAAGGAATAAGGATCACATGGGTTTGTACTGATCCGCTTTTGAGCTATATCAAATGACAATGGCTCCATCTATGTTGAGAAGATGTAGGGGCCACTCTAATTGTAAAGGCTACTCTCTTCTCATATTTGTGCTATGTCTTAGTCGCCAAGGATATACGACAATTACCTAACAATAACTACAGTCTCATTGGCATTACCACACGTAATTATACGAACATTAGTACCACGTAACAGAACTCTCTAGCTATGGTCTTTTTCACTCACAACACCCACAAACATTAAACCTGACAATCAGATTGGGTTGGGTAATTTGGGTTGAGAATCTCGGGTTACGGGTCATCACGGGTTGGGTCATCTTGGGTTGTTTATTTCGCGTCAAATATTAACCCAATCCACCGATTTTCGGGTCAAGTTTTGGAAGCTGTGGATCAGAACTAGGTAGAGCACTGAGCCACATTTTGGAAAGAGGCGGATTAGGTTGGGCCATAGCTCGACGAACACTTAAACGAATACCGAAAATAAAAAATTTACAAGTGCTATACTAGCTTTGATCCAGAGGAGGGCTGGGACGCGGCCCGGGGGCGGCCCCCCTGGATCAGCCGCTGGGTTTCGGGTCATCATCGTTCCCCGAAATAATATCAAACGTGCTTCAAAAATTGCTAAAGAACACAAATTTTCACATATGTATTACCTAACACATGTCAATTAACAAATGCTCAAATACTTCCAAGCTAATAAAAAAATACAAATTGCACAAACCGTCAATAAACAGTCACGAAAGTAATAGTACTACAAGAAACAAATGATGTTTAATTGCCTGTGAAAATGTCAGAACTCGGTGCCTGTTTCGATCCCATCGAGAAGACCGTACGACGTACTTCTTCGGGAGAAACTTCGGCCGTCAGGCATGCATTCATTTCAGGTGTCACAGTGCGGTCAATGGGAAAAGCAACCACCCTCTCAATCATATTTGGCACCTGATTCTCTGAAGTGAATAAATGCTGGTAAAAAGTGCTAGCAATGTCAGCTTTGCCACTCTTCTCCGTGATCCAATCACCATTATCAATGCGGAGGCCAGGAACAAAATTCTTTTTCCGTCGGGGCCTCGTGACCGTATGGGAATAAGAAGAGTTTTTATCCCCTCTTTTCAGCCATCGAATTCGGGACTTTTGCTGCCAATAAAGTTCCTCCGCCTCCCACTGTCTACTAAGTTCCGTTTCAAGGGTACGAACTTCGTCCCGATTAATTGGATAAATAGACTTAACACGCTCAATTTCATCTTGGAGGGTACGAATGTTGCACAGGAAATTCGTCGTTCCCGCCCTACTCCAATCATACAAAAGATGACGAAGCATCTTAAGCCTTTCCCATAACTGGAACATAGGAGTTCCGTGGATCGACTCCTGCCAGACATAGGTCACCATGGCTTTAACCTCAGGATTGTCTGCCCATCGAGCATCAAATCGAAACAGAGGGCGGCTATTCCGAACATAAGGTTTATCGGACAGAAGCAAAGCGCGATGATCAGAGCCCTAGTCAGTGAAATGCTTAACGAAACTATCTGGAAATCTCTCATTCCAAACTGGTGAGCAGAAAACCCTGTCCAATCTTTCACGTATTCAGGCAGCCCCACTCGCTTATTCGTCCAGGTGAAGAGGCTGGACAAAATTACGCAGATCAATTGACTCGGCAGCATTCCAACGAGGAGGCTATCTTCTCGCTAGCAGTTTGGGCTTCTTCCAATGTGAGTGGGTGGGATGATTTTGGTCTGGGAGATAATTGATGGAAACACCATTAATTATCTCGTCAGTGTTGGTAGCGGTGTCTCTTCCGAATTTCGTGGCGGATCGTCCATGTTTCTATGAGATCAGAGTTCTTTCTTTGGGTTGTTTTGCAGTGTGGGTGTGGGTTGTTGTTGATGGATTGGGTTGTGCTGCTTGTTGGTGTTCCTGTTCTTGGATCTCTTTTTTGCTTTGTGTTTCTGCAGGTGAGGCTCATGCTGGTGGGTCTTCTTTCTTGTGGTTTTTGTGGGCATTTCAACCCTCTGTGTTCCCTTCTCTCTGGTTTGTCATGGATGCATCCGGTGCCGGCTCCCTCTCTTTGTTTCAGCTCTGAACAATCCTGTATAGTGCTGTCCACCGCCATGTAATCTCCTCGGTGATTCACTGTGATGGGTCGTCTTCGAACAACTCCGAGGAAGCGGCATATGGTGTTGCAATGTTCAATCATCATGGTCATTTCTGTATTGGATGAGCTGAAGCTTTCCTTTGAGTTTTTCTGATAAATGAGGTTGCAAAGAGTGATTCAGATGCTCTGGTTTGCGGTTCAAGAATAGAATGCCCTTGTCTAGTTGAATCATGCTTGGCTTTCTCTTGTTCTGATCTTTTCCTTGTTGGTTTGTGTGTTCTTCTGAGTGTTGAGGCTGTTCTTTCTTGATTTGTTTTCTCATGTTGTATCCCCTTTTTATAACCGATTTTATTAGTTGAGCAATATAAGTGATCCCTTTGTAAAAAAAAAAAAAAAAAAAAAAAAAATTCGCCAAAACATAGCAGCTGAGAGCAAGGGTCTTCTCTTCTTGCCTTCTTGGGAAGTCCCCCGCTAATAAACTATGCTTTTCATAAAATATAAACCCTTGCGTTCTTAAAATGACGATGATATTTTTATTTTTTTTGGTGGGACGATGATATTTTTTCTAATGTTCTAATGTTCTAGCCAATAATTTAATTATCTTCTATATAGGTGCAAGCTAAAAAAACATGTACTTTAATTACTATTTTACAACGATGTATATGACACATTTTTATATTCTAACAAGTATTTAGAATACATTTATCATCCAAATTAATAAGAATGTCACTCTCATCAATATACTGTATTGAAAAACGTCTGAAAACATTAAATTACTACGTGTCTAGAAATAAGAGGAGAGGAGTGAAAGATGGCGGTGTACCTTTTATTTATTGGAAATGACGCAAATAATAACCATCTAGCTCACCCTATAATTATCCTTTTAATCTTTATTTATCAAAGACCACATTATTGTAGGAAGAAACTAAACATCTCTATTCATACCAATACAATACTGTCTTTCAAATAAAATAGTTAAACAATCAACGAAGAAACATCTCCATTCCTGTTTCTACCAACTTCTCTAGTAATTTTGAAAATAAACAAATCTCATATTTCTTTTAGTCTTTTATGTTTTAAACTTTTAGATTTTTAGGTTTCATTAGCTTTAATTTTTCCAAAGGAAAATCATTGAGCCTAGAATTTCTGGACTAAATTTTGAGTAGTGATTTGAATATGTTCATCTGTACCATTTTCCTAATTACACACAATTTTATTATAAAATAACACTGAGCAAAATGTTTAAAATAAAAAAAAAATTATAAGTGATATACTAGTTCCGGACCCAGAAGACGGCTGAACCATAGCCCGGATGGCTATACGGTCCGGTCCGGTTAAATTGGTCTGAATTGATCCGGTCTCGGTCCAGTTTTTTCGAGAATATAAGGACCAAAGATTGGATTGGATATAGTCCGGTCTCGATTCGGTCCGGTCCCAATTTGGTTTTGATTTTAGATTGAGTTTGTGGGGATTTCAGTGGCCTAAGACCTGAAATGGTGAGGAGGTTAAATTTTGGGGGGCTCTCTTATACGGCCTTTATCTGATTTTCGGTTGGTACCAAACGGGTTTTTACCTCAAATCTAGGCCCGAAAATTGGATTGTATTGTTTGCTATCCGGTACCGGTCCAATTTCGATCCGGGTTATACGATTCAATTTCAGATAAAACCAAAAAGACCGGATCAAATAGCCAGCCCTAATAGCCCAAGTGTGGCCACCCTGATCCACCACTGTGCATAAGCCACCGACGATCGATGCCACCACCACTAAGGGCAACCGATGAAATTTTGGATGGTGATGATCAATATGCTTGTGCTAATTAAGGTCGACCTTCCAAAGTCAAGAATGGTAACCCCATGCATTATTGCCACAAGGGCTACTAAACTGGGCCAGGGATATGGGTATAGATCCAATTTAAACAAAAAAAATCATATTCTTTGTTAATGTTTTACAATGAACTATATTATGTTTATTTATTATAAAATGTATGTACAATTCATTGATTATCAAAACTATTAACAATGTCACTTATCTTGTTGAAGATCATATTTTAAACATTAAGGCCCTGTTCACTTTCATTTTCGTTTCCTGTTTTCTGTTTTCATGTGATAAATTTGGCAACTGAAATGAGAAAACTTGTTTACTTTTCATTCTGTTTTCTATTCGTTTCCAACTATGAAAACAGAAAGTGGCAACTTCCTGCTGTTTTCGAAAACGACAAAATGTTGTTTTCACCTGTTTTCAACATCTGTTTTCTCAAAAACAGGAAACAGAAATGAAAGTAAACAGGCCCTAAATTATTATGTGTGTAGAAACAAAAAAGTAAGAAGATAGAGTGAGAGAAGGAGACGCGGAGGCTTGCATTTTATTTATTTATTAGAAATGACACAAATAACAACCATTTAGCTCACACCCTATAAGTACCCATTAAATTTTGTGTTCATCAAAGACCACAAATTGATTATGAAGAAACTAAACATCTCTTGGAAACTCTCATCTTCAAGCCATCTTTCATCGACAATACAATAGAAGGTGTTGGCTTCACGATGCGACACTCTACCATATCAAGCTTGTAGTTCCACAAAATGGCACTAACAATGAACTTGAGTTGCATGAAAGACATCGCCTTCCCCAAACAAGTCTTTGGTCCTGTCAAAAACGCCATAAACTTTTGCGACGGAACATGGATTATGTTCCCTTCTTCTGTAATCCATCTTT